CGTACACTTGGTGGGGTCGCTCTAGAGTATGAGGTTACCATGCCAACAAAGTTCATGGTTGGGACAGAGCAAGGCTCAGTGCTGTCATGCAACCGTAAAGCTAAGTCACCATCAGAGAAGATAGTGGCRACATACTCCCAGCATTATGGACCGGTATATGCTGTCCAGGTTTGTAATAAATCTCCTTTTATATATTACTCCAAGACAAGGAATTGCTTTCAACTCATATTTTATATTGAATAAAATATTTTTTTTTGTTTCCAGCGAAATCCTTTCTTCCCTAAAAATTTCCTAACAATTGGAGACTGGACAGCAAGGGTATGTTGTTATATATAATATCAACCATTATACCATTATATCCTACTAATCATGTTTTTGATTATAGATTTGGTCAGAAGACTTGAGAGAATCCTCTATTATGTGGACCAAGTAAGTGAAAATACATTGATCAGGGATAAAAAACCATGTCCATTGAAAAGCAAGATTCAAGATTCGCTTTATTGTGATCGTACAGAATTGTTACATTGCATACAGTCTATTAGTCAGTAATGAGTGAAATAATAGTGGAGTAACATTTTGTATTCAAATGCCATACTTTTTTTAACTTTGCCAGTTTGGAAGCATTATTTAAGGTTACTAAACAGGAGATGAATGGATCACTTCACTCCAAACATTCTAACACTTAACACTTTTTTCCCAAGGCAAGACATGTCATACATGACTGATGGCTGCTGGAGTCCAACAAGACCAGCAGTGTTCTTTACCACAAAAATGAATGGTACATTAGATGTATGGGACTATCTGTTTAAACAGAATGAACCAACACTTACTATACAGGTACCATATATTATATTACAGGAACAATAAGTGTAGGTGTTGGTCTAATAGTCTAATCTGGTCAATAGGTATGTGATGAATCGTTGAACTCCATCCGAGTCCAGGATCATGGACGATTGGTTGCTTGTGGTTCTCATTCTGGTACTGTCACCCTTCTTGAGTTATCTGATGGTTTAAGTAACATTCAGCGTAACGAGAAATCCTCCGTAAACGCGGTACGTCTAACATATTTTGTTATCATTTTACAAATCGATGACTGATTTTTAGTATGTTTTATTAAGATGTTTGAGCGAGAAACCAAACGGGAAAAAATTCTAGAGACAAGACACCGAGAAATGAGACTGAAAGAGCGCTCCAAAAGCTCCCAGGACAAGTAAGTAATTTAATTTATTGACCTTGGCTAGGGAGATAATGTTTGAAAAACTTTTGTTTCACTATTTAACGTTAGAATTCATTGTTTAACAGCGTTATGCAAACCTAATCCTTTGTAAAGATCTCCCTCCTTCCTGGAAATTGACCCTGTATCTAAGTAACGAAAATCTTGCTTTGACTTCAGGGAGCATGAGGAGAAACCAGAAGACGACGAAGAAGAAGACATGGTTGCTAAAGCAGAAAAAGACTTTTTCTCGATTGTAGAAACAGAGAAAAAAGCTCGTGAGGAAGCCGAGGCCAAAMGAGAGGCAGCCATCTCCGAGGTGAAGAAAGGAATCGCCCAGGAAGGCACAACACATGAAGAATATCAAGAAAATGGTGAACCAGAACAAAAAGAGGTATCAATCAGACCCCTTTAGGCTCTGTCATCTCCCCTTAATTTTTTGCTCAATTAGTATGATATACATCCTCAGGAACCCAGGCGTAATCTTTTGCCGTTCTTTCCTCACTTCCACACACGGAACGAACGACAGAGATTGTGCCTGGGTTCTGGAGGATGTATACTTTACAGAAACAAAGAGAAACTAAACTTCTCGTTTACGTCAATTGYGTGCGTTGATAACGCCCTGCATTCYTTRYYCACATGATACCAAAAAAYAWTAATATAAATAWATCMACAATATATWTTTTTACTTTTACTGGTTGGAGCAACACGTATCCCAAGATGTTCGACAACGGTACGAAAACGCTACGAATATTAACATTAAAAAAGATTCGCGGCATCGTTTGGACATGGTCTTGTGCACGTGACGAGTGAATCAGTGTGTTTACTGTATGTATTTACTGCAATGTTTAAATTGTATCCGAAAAATAATGAACGAAATGATCGGTGGCTAAATTCAGATAGGAAAATCCCCACTTAGTATTAAAAATCCCTCTCGGACTCTGGGATAAAGAGATTTTTCAGTTCGTGCAGATTGGCCATTGGTATTTCTTGTGATTGTAATTCATCCTCCCACGCTCTCATTTTCCTTTTATTTTCACTAAAATAGTTATATAAAGAAAGTGAGGCTTAAAAAGCCGCTCTATTAGCATCTCTTGCTTCCTAATGCTATTGAAAGTTAGCCTTTTTGACGGATGTTTTTACAGATATGGTTTTCAAATAACAAATTCTACACAAAGGTGGCCCATGTGTTTCCTATTTTATAAGTCGATGTTTATGCCTTATTTGGTATTTGTATATACATTAAAATCTCGCTGCTTTTTGACGTCTCCTCATAAGACACATTTTTTTCACAGTCTTAGTCACGTTTTTATGGCAGTTTTCTACACACTGTAAATTGCTTTTGGCCAACATTCAGACACTCTATTTGAGGCGCTGGTGTGAATATTTATAAACTCGTTTCTATGACAACGTTCGTGTTTTTGAAACATTGTAGTTTCCCTATGGCGTGTGTTTCATAATATTTACCCCTAATTGGTTCATGAAAAGAGCTTTACATAAATAAACATAACTTTGAAGGATATTAAATGCGGCAAACAAGCTGTACTCAACACCATTTTTTCATATGATTAACCTTGAAYAAAGGACTGATATGGGAGGAGATTATCGCACAACTTAAAAGGGAATTGATTAAAAGCATTCTCACACGKATATTCTTATGTATTCTCTTGGATGGAATCGCATTTTGTTGGCTGAATGACATTGTCACTTGCTCTTAGCAAACAAAACCCTGACAAGTTGTCAGTTTTGTTRACCCCCTTTGTTTGTTTTACGATATATTTTTACTTTTCGATGAAATCTCTTGAAGTTCTTTCTAGAGTGCATTTTAGTTGCACTGCTGTGAAGATTGTTTCATTAACCGTATTTACCATTAGTGCAAAGCATCAAAACAAGTATTAGAACCATCAATTATTAATCGTGAACCCTAAAAATGATGAGAATCGTGTAAAATTACAAATGATAGCTTGTCATTTAATGCCGTTGAATTATTAAATAATATCACATTTAAACCCTGTCGGCGCAATTTTCCTTTGATACATTATTTTAATCATTGCATAAAAGAAAGCAAACAAAATCCTCTTTTACCCTATCTATCTCCCCTTCTAATGCCTCTTTTTTACTAATGACTTTATCAAGGCTTTTTTCCGCTGTTGCGAAATGCCCGAAATTTGCATTTATATTTTGCCGTTTTATTTCAGATTTCCGAAGAAGCTTCGTCAGAGCAGCCCGCTGAGTAATTGTTMCCCGTAACATGTTAGGGAAGGAATTGCTACGTAAATATGCCGGTGTAAATGATGCAAGAATATAACTGCTGCGTTTTATTTATGTACAAATAATCGTCAGTTATTATTAACCTTTCTAGGTGTTCCTAAAATTATTTCTTTTTACAAATATAAATAAAGTTTTGTATATATCAATCTATCGTTGTCGTTGTTTCTACTTTTTCAAACGCGTGTGTATTCTTAATGAATTTGAACAGTGAATTTTTTTTTTTTTTTTTTGATCACTTTGTCAACATTATTTAAAGAGGAATTTCCTCCTGATTGTTAACACGCACGGAACGCGAAGATTATAAAGAAACTCCTGTGGTCTCTATGGAGCCAGTTAGCTGAGTGTTTTGTCAATAAAATATCTTGTAGGTGCACAACACTTTCTTCTTGTCCGCCTTTTTCTTCTTCTTTTTACCTTCGACGTTGTTTGAACCGAGCAATTTAAAAGTGTACTTGCCTTTGTTGGGTAAATTRCAGTGATAAACTACTCTTTCTTCCATTTCATCTAATGCTACTACATCGGTGATCTCCCCTTCTTCATTTGACAATTCAGCACWAAGTGGGATTTTATTGGGGTTCAAGAAGGTGATGATTACAGAGCCATCATAAACAGCGATGTTCTCTTTATTGCTATCTAAACGAAGACCCCACAGACGAAACTCGTCCTCGATATGTGGAAAGCCCGCCCTTTCACCAAGGCCCCTACAACTGAACACGGAATATGACGCCAAGAACTTCGATTTAGAATCCGGTGATTCGCGGCCTGAAATTCGAAGTTCATATAACCCAGCTTCTGGGACGTGGAACGATAGCTTAGTATCACTGCCATTGCGCTCCGTGAAGCACAAGTCAGGTGATAGGTCCTGTTCGTTTTGACGCAGTTTAGCAGAAAGAAGTACACTTCCAGGTGTATTGATAGTGACCGTTACTCGCCCCGTCTCCGTAGATATATTGTCAAATTGGTCGACAAGTTTTAAATTCCAAGCAGTAAATGTCTCAGTAAGCTCAGGAAATCCAGGGTTTTCAGATGCTGCACTGTGCGACTTGACCTTATAGGAACACAGCAAAACATTCTTTGGTTCTTTCTTTGATTTCTTGCTGGTTCGCTTACGTCCGTACAC